CACACTGTATATATATATATATATATATATATATATATATATATAGTACATTTTTATACTTGAATTCATATTTTGTATATAGAGATGAAACATCATGAGCATTTCCAAAAAATATGGTTGTAGTGGAAAAATCAGTATAATTTTTACCAAATAATTTTTGAAGTACTTTGTGGTTTTCTTTCATATTAGCAGAATTATTTAATAATTTTTTTTTTTTTTTAATTTAACTTCAATTTTTAAAGTAGTAAAATGTTGATAATTTAATTTATAGTTTGTATACATATCAAATATCATGAGCATTGCCAACATAATATGCCAATATAAATTATGCCATTTACGTAATTTGTAAGTTTGTAATTTGTAAATAGTTACAAAATTATAAAAATCAGTATCATTTTAAAACTGTAGTAGCCTAAAAGTTTTAGAATTTAAATCATATTTTATGTACTTACGTAATAAAATATCATGAGCATTTCCAACAAAATATGGTTGTAATGGAAATTGTCACTGATGTAATTTGTGTAAAAAATCATCAAAATATTGAAATATTATATCTTATATTCCAAGGGTATGGTAAAAACAAAAAAGTTTGTAATTTAAATATAATCGGTTTAAAGTGAGTGTCATATGAGGGAAAAAAGTTCAAATCAATTTTAGTAAAGAGCAATCCCTGTGACATAAAAGTCTCCATAGTCAAATAAACAAATTAGTGTGGTATTTTAAAATTATTTATTTTTATTTAGCATTGATTGATTGTTTTGAATAGAATAGAACAAGCATATGTCGTAGATAAATTTGGCCCAGTGGCAGAAAAACCTGTAAGGTACATGTAAAGACTTCATGTAACCGGATAAGTTTTCTTGACACAGATTATACATTCAGAATCCAAATAGTCTGTCTGTGGTGTTTTGTCCCATCTGCAATTTGCACTTTAGACCTTGTGAAATAACATTTTGCTCCACTGAATACTTGTGTGTGGCTGAAATGACTTTACTAAACTAAACTGAAGAAAACACATTTTGCAGCACTGCTAACACGCGCACTCCTTTAATCCTCTTTTGTCTCTTTTTAAAGGCCTCCACTATGAACATTTTAACTTTGATCAGATCCAAGACCACATTGATTAACTCACCTATTCACAAAAATCACCATCTGGAAACATCAAACATAAGGCCGTGTCTTTTGATGGAGCCAACCGTAGCAGCTAATGATCAGCCGTTAACACATCGGCTGCCATCTTTGGTAGACAAAGCTTTCTCACCTCCAAAATACTGTTATAGACAGAGGGATTAGCAAGGGACATTGTGCTCCTAATGTCACAAAGTTGTTGACATAATTTGTCTAGACATTTGTCTAGAGCAGGGGTGCCCAAACTCGGTCCTGGAGGGCCGGTGTCCTGAAGAGTTTAGCTCCAACCCCAATTAAACACACCTGAACCAGCTAATCAAGCTCTTACTAGGAATACTAGAAACTTAAAGGCAGGTGTGTTGAGGCAAGTTGGAGCTAAACTCTGCAGGACACCGGCCCTCCAGGACCGAGTTTGGGCACCCC